GGGGCATAACACACACAGTTTCACCCAATCTTGTGTTAATCTTGAGTACCTATAGAGTAGTACTGCATCCTTCATATCTCCAAAAAGTCTTTAGTTTGATCATATTTATAAAAGAAAGATACAGTTTTACGATTCTCTCCGGAAAAAGCCGAGGACGTGGGCGGAGCTAAAGAGTGACGAGCACTTGGGCGCCTAATGCCAACAAAACAGACATTTGATGCTGTTTCACTCATCGTCTGCAGTTCTGAATCATGACCGGGATCTTTTATAGCTGGGACCGCTCCATCTTTCAGTATCAAACAATGTGCAAATCCAGCTTGAACTGGGCCTTGTTTATAAAACCTTCGTCAACAAACACACTTGCTGCTCTAGAAAAACAAACTGTATCCAATGCTGGGTTCTTTAGGAAGCTGAACAAAGTTATCTTTCCCTTACAACCAAAAACACACTTATTTGGAGACATTCTTCCCGAGCGAGTCTCGTGCAGCGCTGCCGCCGGATGAAGCGCGTTGATGGGCGCGATCTCGCTCTCGCTCTCGCTCTCTGGTCGATGCATGCGCGGCAGTGTTGCCAACTTCTTTCAATAGAAAGTAGCTAAAGCCAGTTTGAAAAGTCGCTAAATGTCTCTCTGTGCTCACATACTGTATTTTAACGCAGCCAAATTATCAATAAAACTGTTTTCATTTATATATATTACTGTTTCTGTTGTCAAGACAACAGAATAAACATGAAATAGTGACTGAAATGCGGCCCTTTAAGACTACATAACCAGCTCTCCCTTCCAAGGTGTTAATCTGCACAAAAATCCTGCTTTATATTTGAGCCATCGTCTGATGAAATGAAACGCACATAAGAAAAGACAAGACACAGACAATTCCTGTGCTGTGATTTCAGCTATATTTGCATGTAAAATTAGAGAAGCAACATAATATATCTATTTTAACTGAAGGCTCGCTGAAAAGAGCAGACGCAGAGAGAGAGGTGTGTGTGCGCTGACCTCGCACCGTTGCGTCAGTACCAGCGATCACAGAGACTCGCTAAGGTTTGTCCAAGAAGTCGCTAGATTTGTGGCTAGTCGCTTTTTTGGAAAAAAAAAAGTCGCCAAAGGGTCTGAAAAGTCGCTAAATCTAGCGACAAAGTCGCTAAATTGGCAACACTGCGCTCTTCCGGGAGAAATGCCCATATAAGGAGTTCCACCCTCGTCTACGTCATGAAGAGCCACGATCGAAAAAAAACTCAACTTGTACGAACCCGGAAGTGAGAATTTTGGCACAGAAATACTCCATCATACGTCCAAATTGCTGGACGCCTAAGATTTTTAGAGTGAATCCAACTCTTTAACAGTGTAAACAACTCTGAATGCATTAAACAGCATTGTCCCCCCCCCCCCCTTTAATGAATTAAAAGGCAACTAAAGTGTACTTAAACAATTAAACTTCCACAACTGTTTCTTAACCCACTTAATATTACATTTTTAAAAAAGTGCACTTTGTAATAATCCCAAATATCTTGATCTTTTCTTGATCTTTAAATTGTTGTTAATCTTTAAAGGATTGCACTTATTTTTGATTTGTTCACTAACATACTAAAACACGTGCAAATTTATATTATATGCAGTTAGCTGAACTTTTCAAAAAAAAAAATTTACACACTCAAAAGCATAGTTCACCCAAAAATGAAAATGTTGTCATTATTTATTTATTTTCTGTTGAGCACAAAAGAAGGTATTTTGAAAAATGTGTGTAACAAAACAGTTTTTGGTCACCATTGACTTTTATAGTATTTTTATCTTCCAAAGTCAATGGCTACCCGCAACTCTTTGATTACCAACATTCTTCAAAATATCTTATTTTTATCATTTTTTTTTTTTTCAAAAGAAGAATTCATACAGGTTTGGAACAACATGACGGAGAGTAAAAAAATTCAAAATTTTCATTTTTGGGTGAACTATCCCTTTAAGTAGAACTGAAGTCTGTATATGTCATTTCATAATTACTATTCTGTTAGCTTTGAAATATGGTTAAAGTGTTCTGCTGAATGTGCTTTTTTTTTAGAGTTGAAGTACACTACAAGTGAACATTTAATACTATTAAGTAAACTTCTATACATGAGACCAAGTGCATGTTTTTACTTTTCGCAGTGTCTTCTCATAAACAGTATGACATAGATCTACAGTATTTATTTCGACAAATACCATAAAGGCTGAAGCTGCATTTCTGTTGTTTCCTTACATAAACAGAAATGTATCATACTCAGTATTTACATGATGTATGCCGTTTTTTATCTGCTACATGTAGTGTTGTTATTCATGCATGCACTGTTTAAAAGCATGTAAGGCATGCAGTCAAACTTCATCCAAAATTGGAGAAAACATCAAAGAGTGAATATTACAATCAGTATTCAAAAGAAAATGTCTTGTTTATTGTCACCCCTGAAGTTTAAATAAGAGTTACTGTGGTCACAAGTACGATTGCTACACTCTAAAAAATGCTGGGTTAAATACAACGCTAAAATTGTAATATTGCCATCTGTTTACTGATGCCCAGAATCCAAGAACTGTCATTCAACAGTATGCACACAAGCTATTTATATGCTATTTAACATCAATGTCAATTTCAGTTCAGGTGTAACTCTGCTTTATGACTTGACCTTATAGCAGAGTTGATTTGTGATGCCCTCAAAGTTACAGATGGCTGATATTAAATCTTATGTTGATGTGTCTCTGCTTCTCTTTGCGAGGCTAATGGCTCATTGACGTGCTTTGGCCGGTAGTACTGTTTAGTCATTTGACATGCAGCTGTTGTGATGCGTAAATTAGTGGCACTTGGTCTAAATTAAGATACACTGTCTATGAACCAAGGATGGGCTTATAGTTATTTTTTCATCCATGTACAGTATTATACATGGCTGAGAAAAAAATATATAACTTGTAGTATTGATTTTCATTTTTCGGTGAACTATCTCTTTAAGCCACTACGATACTTTTACTAAAATCACTTTTTATTTTTTATACATTTAAATGTCTACATACCCCTTACTTTTAGGTTAAGTTACCCTTTAATACATGCATGATTATTATCTATCTTATAGATAGAGGACGGTAGTCCCGCTGCCGTAGCTGGATTGTGTGAGAATGATGAGCTGGTGTCAGTGAATGGAAAGCCTTGCTCAAACCTCAATCTCTCAGAAGCTATTGATCTCATTGAGGCCTCAGCTGACTGTCTACAGCTGCTTGTCAAAAGGTATTTTATTGCTTGGACAAATGTTCCTTGATGCACTCTGGTTGCCTCTTTGCTTTACTTTGTGCAAATTTTTTTTAGGCAAAAAGGAAATGGCTCTTTCATTTCAAGCTAGAAGCATTAAATGCTAATGCAATATTTAAGCCCCACCTCTTCTGTCATTCTAGACCAAATGCAACATATTGTGATGCATGCATTAAATTGTATAGCTATTTGCATTTTTATAGTATAGTTTATGAAATGTCTTGTTTATGCCTATCTTGACCTTTGAAATACCAAACATGTACCAAATCACCCACTGTGTGATGCGTAAATTAGTGGCACTTGGTCTAAATTAAGATACACTGTCTATGAACCAAGGATGGGCTTATAGTTATTTTTTCATCCATGTACAGTATTATACATGGCTGAGAAAAAAATATATAACTTGTAGTATTGATTTTCATTTTTCGGTGAACTATCTCTTTAAGCCACTACGATACTTTTACTAAAATCACTTTTTATTTTTTATACATTTAAATGTCTACATACCCCTTACTTTTAGGTTAAGTTACCCTTTAATACATGCATGATTATTATCTATCTTATAGATAGAGGACGGTAGTCCCGCTGCCGTAGCTGGATTGTGTGAGAATGATGAGCTGGTGTCAGTGAATGGAAAGCCTTGCTCAAACCTCAATCTCTCAGAAGCTATTGATCTCATTGAGGCCTCAGCTGACTGTCTACAGCTGCTTGTCAAAAGGTATTTTATTGCTTGGACAAATGTTCCTTGATGCACTCTGGTTGCCTCTTTGCTTTACTTTGTGCAAATTTTTTTTAGGCAAAAAGGAAATGGCTCTTTCATTTCAAGCTAGAAGCATTAAATGCTAATGCAATATTTAAGCCCCACCTCTTCTGTCATTCTAGACCAAATGCAACATATTGTGATGCATGCATTAAATTGTATAGCTATTTGCATTTTTATAGTATAGTTTATGAAATGTCTTGTTTATGCCTATCTTGACCTTTGAAATACCAAACATGTACCAAATCACCCACTGTGTACTCACAAAATCAAAAACAGAATCTCTCACCTAGATACATTTAGATTAATTAGACACTAATATGAGTTTCACATAAATTGGTACTGAAAACTCCAAAGGGTAACTGAAAACTAAGGTAGTTTTGTTATTTTTGATAAATGATTTGCTTGATAAAGAAGTCTTGGGGTTTGATTGGATGGATTAACTGCAAATGATGTGATTTTACTATGATCTCCTCCCTGTAGATGCTGTAGTCCACCTCAAGAGAGCTTTGAAATGGTTAGTACCACTTTCCGGATCCCTTCTCCATCCAGGCCTCACGAGCCACAGGAACTATACACCTCTGAGTACCAGGATGAAGCATATTATGGGGAGACAGACAGTGATGGAGAGAAAAGAGGCCAAGTCCAAATGCAAGCGCATTGCTCTCCTGCTGTCGGCTCCCGCCCCCAACCCTAATAACAAGGGGGTGTTGATGTTTAAGAAGCATAGACAGAGGGCCAAGAAGTATACACTTGTAAGCTACGGTACTGGTGAGGACGAGCCAAATTATAAGGACGACGAAGACGACAAAGAGGAGCACACTGTTGAGTTCACTGTTCTAGCCACAAGTGAAACAGAAACTGATGAGGATTTCTTTACCAATGCCTCAGGTCAGAAAAGCATTGTGAGCTTTGATTGGGATACTGGATTACTTGAGATAGAGCGCAAGCTTGACAAGCAGCAGGATATGGATGCACTACCTGAGACCAAAGGGAAAGGAGCCCTCATGTTTGCCCAGCGCAAACAGCGCATGGATGACATAGTAGAAGAACATGAAGAGATGAGACGTAAGGGGATCCCTGTTGAAGCGGTGCAGGAGACTGAGACACATAAAGCATACCAACACACAGATGAGCACACTTATATGCATGCACAAGAGACCCAGAATTACATGGATGTAAATCTACACCAAAGCATATCGGCACAAAAGCAGCAACAACAACAACAACAACAACAACAACAATATCATCAGTACCAAGAACAGTACTATCAACAACAGCAGCAGCAGCAGCATCAAGACTACCAGCAGCAGCTACAATACCAGCAACAGCAACATCAGTACCAACAACAGCAAGACTACCAGCAACAAAAAATGTACCAACACATGCAATCATACAATCAGCAACAACACTGCGAACAACAGCAAGTGCAACAGTATTCACATCATATGAATGGCATGTTTGATCAGCAAATGCAGAACGAAATGCAGCCATTAGTCACAAACAGGAGTGTCAAACCATTTTCAGTTCAGAATAGAGTGGCTGCTCCATTTTCCTCCCAATCAAGTGCAGATAATCAAGAACAGTCTGGGTATTCATTGGGACAAGGTGAACAGATTGCTTCCCGTGATGAGCGTATATCTGTACCTGCTATCAAGACAGGTATCTTGCAAGATACAAGGATGAGGAGTGCCAATAAACCTATGTTCACTTTCAAGGAGTCTCCCAAGGTCTCACCTAATCCTGCTCTGTTGAATCTCCTTAACAAGAAAGACAAGAAGGCAGGTTTTGAGTCTTGCCCAGAAGAAGATTATTTAAGCTTAGGAGCTGAAGCCTGCAACTTTCTTCAGTCTCCTAAAATGAAACACAAAATTCCACCACCAGTTGCTCCTAAACCTCACCTTAACCCTGCTTCTTCCCCATGGTCTACTCAACAAGAAACTATTGACCAACCCAGTGTCCCAGCACCTGCAGAAGCTCCAGTCACAGAGGCTGATGCTGCTCCTGCCCCTAAAATGGGGGCCCCAACGTTGTTTGAACAAGAGCCTACATTGGCCCCTGAATCCCATGATGTTCCACACTGTCCTGAACAGCGTCCTCCAGATAATGCCTGGAAACAACCAGAATCTCAAATGGAGCTGAACCAGCAACCAGAAACCTGGAATGAGAAACAACCCCAGCTGCAAATGAATTCTGATCTTCCTGTCACACAGCCTGTTACGCAGTCAGATCCATCTGTTAGATCATGGGATCCAACTCCAGCTCAAGGTCATCAGCAGATTCCAGTAAGTACTTGGGGTCCAAATGAGGTCCAATTGCACGTCCCATCTCAAAACCAGTCTCAAACACAGCCACAGTGGATGACACAGTCTCAAGGTCCTCCAGAAGTACAATTGCAAGTGCCTTCTAAAACACAATCCCAGCCTTGGGTAACACAGCCTCAAGCTTCACCCCCACCCAAACATCCACCACAGCCTCAGCCCCAAATCAATTCTTGGGCACCAAGTTCAAATCAGTCAACCCCACAAGCTCCATGGTCTCAGCCACATGAGCCGGCACAACCATCTATCAGTGTTTGGCAACAAGATCAAAATCAAGCTCAGGAACATCCAGCTTGGACCCAAAAACAACAGTTCCAACAATCACAGGCAATGCCACATTGGGCATCACCCCCTCAGCAACAGCCACAGCCTTCTTGGGCTCAACCTCAGAGGCAGTCACAGTCCCTGGTTTCTCAGGCCAAACAGCAAGAACCAATACAGCCATCTGCAAATGCATGGACTCAGCCACAGAGTCCAATTCATGCACAGCCTCCATGGGCTCAGCAGACTCAACCAACACCTCAGCCAATAGCACCAGTGCAGCAACCCATGAATCCTTGGCCACCAATGCCAGCCCAGTCCCAACCACATCCACAGTGGGGACAAGAACCTGTTTCTCAACAACATCCTCAACAAGTAATGAACTCTTTTACACCTGTACAGAATCAAATTCAGCCTCCCTGGGCTCAGCCACTCCCACCAACTCCCGCCACTCCATGGGCACAGAAACCACAACAGCAGGCATCACAGCCACCTGTGAGCCAGTGGGCACCACCACAATCTCAGTCTCAACCAGCTGTAAATGCTTGGGCATCCCAACACCAGCAGAGTTCAGTTGGCAGCATTGCCCAAAATGAAACCCAGAAATTGCCTCCCCAACCAAACAAGCCATGGAGTCCAACTCAGACTTCTCAGCCTACTCCTCCACGACGAATGAATTCATATAACACTGGGACAAAGGCACCATCTCTTGTTCCAACAAGTAGTACTATGTCACCCTCTGGTTTTGGTTCAGCATTTGAGATGCCGGCCTTGAGAGGGAAAGGAGCTGAACTGTTCGCCAAGAGGCAATCTAGAATGGAGAAGTACATTGTGGATTCTACCACAGTGCAGTCGAATAAGGCAAGACCATCTTCACCTTCTCCTTCTTTGCCACATTCCTGGAAATATTCACCCAATTGCAGGGCTCCCCCACCATTGGCATATAATCCAATTCATTCACCATCATATCCACCGGGTGCTATCAAGCAGCCTCCACCCTCAAGCCCTTCAACAGCAAACAAGAACAAAAACAAAGACAAGCAAAAACCTGCCCCAAAACCTCTTCATGTCCTTGATGTCATGAAGCATCAGCCCTATCAGCTGAATTCCTCCCTTTTTACCTATGGCCCAGCAGCAGAGAAACTTGCTGCAGAAAAGGAGGCAGCTGAAAAGCTTGCTGCTCAAAAAGCAGCTGAAGCTCAGGCTCAAGCTCAAGCTCAAGCTGAGGCCCAGGCCCAAATTCAAGCCCAAGCACTAGGTCCTCCAAATCAAAACCAGCAAATGGCATATAACCAAGGTCCTCCCCCTTATGGTTTTATGCCACAACAGGCCCAGCAACCCTACGGGATGGCTGGTCAGTCACCTATGCATGATGGCCTTTACCACCAAGCACCTCCTAATACATATCAGCATGCTCTTAATAATTATCAACCACATCCTCAACAGGTCCCATATCAACAAGAATACAACCCCCAACAAGCTTACCAACAACCTCCTTTAAATCCCTACCAACAAGCACCAAGCCCTCCATACCAACAGCCCTCCCCACCCTCCTATAAGACAGGTCCTAATCCAGTATATCAAGCTGGACCTGCACTGGCTTACCAACCAGCCCCTAGTTCTTATGTTGTGCCATCTTACCCAGTAGCAGCAAGGGCTGACTCTGCCTCAGGAGGCAGTATTATTGCTGCTCCAAAGCCCAAATTTTCAGCCAAGAAGAGTGCTGCCCAGGTGTGGAAGCCAAGCACTCCTGAAAAATAGTTATGTTATAGTGCTTTTTTTACAGTGTTGTTACCTTAGGACAACTAAGCTATGGTGCAGATACTTTATGTAGAGCAGAAACATACTTCCAAACAGAAATACTGTGTTACAACAGACTTTTAAAATCTGCCAGAACAGAAAAGAAGAGGGCATAGACATTTCAGAATTACATCACATGGGGGTTTTTTTTTACAGAAGAATTCTCTGCCAAGTCCTTTATACAAATATGTTTTTAAAGGCATGGCCTGCTAAAGGTAAGACAAGCTCGTACTTAGCTTAGACTTAATTTTGGTCAAAGGGAATCAGTGTTGATTGAGATCGAGAAGAGAAACGAGTGCTTAATAATGAGGGGAATATTTTGATGTGAAAAAGTGAAAGAGAGGCATAATGGTCTGTTATGAGGGCTACTGAGTAACTTGATTTGCAATAGTACTTAAGGATATAATCCTTAAAACCAAACCAATGATATATAATCATATTTAAAATTTATAAAAGCTTAACATGACTTCCAAAGGGCTTATGAAGTATCAAATTTCATACAAGCAAGTATATGATTCAGTGGACAGACAGAAATAAATATATGAATATAGTTGGAATATGCAAGTAAACAGTGTATTAACAATTTCTGGCAGAGCCAATGGTGAAAGGAGATACTGTATAACAGAGATAGAGTGTATTACGGTGGCTATTTTATGTAGTGAAGTTCAATCAACTCTCACTTTCTGAGGAAAAAAAAACATTGCTATATTTCTAAATTGTAATTAATGTTTCAGACTTTCTTCATAACAGAAGAAATGAATGTACTCCGTACGTGAGTTTTTTTCAAGTAGGTTGAATAGTGTCAATATTTTAATGTTTAACAGCTGGTACATAGCTTGAGAGCTCTTCATTTTTACATTTTATGAAAATAAGTAGATTTTGTGTCATTTCTTGTTTATTTTTTGAGGGAGAAATTAATGTTCAGGTTTTTTTTTTTCAGTTCTACTAGAAAGAACATCAAATAAAACAGATATAGGAAGTCAACAAGTTAATTTTTAGTCTTCTGTTCTTTTTTGCTGTCTTTTGTTCATTTCTTTGTGTGGTGTTTTCTTCATAGTACACTATTTGTCAAATGTACCACAGTGCCATTAAAGTTACTGTCTTCAGTTTTGTTTGTTTGCTTTTGCATGTACTTCACTCGCTTCCATCTTTACAATCATTTACAAGCATTTTTTCTTTGCACCTCTCACTATTCTCTGCTTTCATATTCCTTTTGAAAATCCTAGTCCTTTTCTTTTAGAAGTAGATTCCTTGTCAGTTAAATAAGGTAAGTAAAATAACAACTATCATTTTTCATAAATAGATACAGTCAGCAAATACAGTTAGTATTTACAGTAAATACAGTTACTTATAAGTAAATGCCGTTATCTGTGATTGAAAAAAATTAAGTTTTACAATTGCCCTCAGTCTCTCCTAATAAAAAGCATTTAACACCAGATCATTTTAGATTGCATAAATCCATATATTTTTGTAGGTGCATATGAAATTACAGTATATTTTCTGTTATTATTTACATTCTATTCGGCCAAAAATCGAATATGCATGAGAGTAATTATTGTCTGCATGGAAAATATATATCTTTTGTAAGCCTAAAATAAGAATGCCTAAAGGCAAGCTGGAGTATGAGTATTGTTCTAAATTTGGGCCTGTGCTGCATCATACTATTCAGGAGCTAATAAGACATACTTCATAATTGGGGGAAAGTGGAAATGATATGAATGAATGCCCTGCAAGGCTTGCTCCAGGAGCTATATTTGGAGAAATGTGATCTCTGGTCCCTTGATGTGAAATGCGGGAGAGGAGAGCACCTGTCACTTTTATATCACTTTAGACTGATTCATATATGTTTTTTTTTATAAAACATCAGCGACAAAATGAAAAATATGCAACATCTGCATGACACTCATATTTGTCAATACTAAATCATTACTGGTATTAAAAAATTAAATAATGAAACTTATTTATTTAACATATTAGCAATACTGGCTTCTTAAAACAATACATACAATTTTTATTGTACAAAATAAATACATTTATCCATTTTTAAATACAAAGAATACATATTTTAGTCTTAGTCAACTTTATTTTTTTTCCAACCTACTACTACAAATTCACTAAAATTATTGTTATCAATAGAGTATTCCATATTTTTTTAGCTCATAACGTCACATTGTTTGTTTTTGCGAAAAGTTCATATCATAACAGATGGTGGCAGCACAACCCTTCTTGTTTAGTGCCACTCGGTTCATTCTTTGTGGAACCCTGGTGGAAAATTGTCTTTGTACACTTGCACACATATCAGTGATCCTTTCTATCTCTGATAAAAGTTTTGCAGCAATGATTATTTATCGCCACTGTTTCAAATGAATGCGTTTGCTCATTTCAGGCACTTAGGAGTTCATCCTTGTCACCACCGGTCAGACTTTCAGCAGCGGTTTTCAACCCCAGGTCGGTTTCATCTTCTCCATCACCCAGACTTGCATCCCAAATCGCTTCCGTTCGGCCACCTGTGGGGCAGACCGCCCGGAAAGACAGGGGTCACAAGCCGCCCACCCCTTGGGAAGCTGCCTCACGCCACCCACTGGGGCTCGTAGATGAAGCCTTTACATTTCTGGACATTCAGCAGTCTATTGCCGCCAACCTGCGCTATGCCGCTCAGAGTAAGCTCTTACCCGAGCCTCCGGCTGAGTGGAAGGCAAAGGTTGCGTATGAATCGCCCAAAAACCAAAAAGACAGTTTAAGTCAATCATCTTTGACTTTTCTGTCCCCAACCAAGAGCACATCATCGGCACCAGCTGGTCCCGTCCCATACAGGTCACCCTTTAGACAGTGTCAACCCCAAAGGTCAATGACGGAGGCTAATCTCAGGCCTTCACAGGGTGATCCGAAGGAAATGGGGCCTCATAGACTGAGATTCTATAAAGCCAAAGATAGCAGTACATGGAGACGCTGAAGGAGAGCCGGGAAACCCTTTATATGTAAGTGAAAGTGAAATCAAACGGAAATGAATTTTGCTGGAAAGTGAGTAAAGTCAAATGATTATGGCTAGTACTGAACATAAAAGAAACATAAAGACAAGTTGATATTTCAGAATGAAGGTCCATGAAAGTCGGAAATTGAGTTAATGAAGATCATTTTATCTATGTTCAATATACAGAGTGTTACAGCTTGATTTTGAAACTCACACTTACAACAATCACTAATTTTGATCAGTGAATATGCATCCCCTTGTGCAAAAGAAGTACACTTTAGCATACTTGTAAAAAGTTACGGAAAAAATATATACTTGAAATTTAGGGCAGTCCAAATGATAAATCGCAACCAAAATAAAAGTTTGTTTACATGTATATATAAATACACACACATACATGTATACAGTATATTTAAGAAATATATATATATGTGTGTGTGTGTGTAAATATTTCTTAAATATATACATGTACATGTGTATTTATATATACATATAAATATACACAGTACACACACAT